TGGCACGGTTCCCTTCTCCACTTTATTCAGTCTTCTGACTTCATTTGGACAGATTGTTTCATGGTTACTGGCCAGTGGTGTGGGAGTGATCAGTTGAATCTTGGACTCATGAGAATTTACAGTGCACAGAGGAAAGTAATTGCAGCTGAACTTTTACCAAGAACAGACTCAGCAAAGTTAAAGACCTATTGGCCCTCCTGGGTACAAAGACTTAGGCACAAGTATATTATAGTTGCTAAAAGCTTCCTAACTTTAAAACCAAGTTCACTGACTTGCTTCATGGCTACCATGTTTGTTCCTTCCCAGGCTTCCAAATATTATCTGTGTGCTAGTTGTCTTCTCTGTAATAAGTATTTGCACTAATCTCTAACTCTGGCTGAGCACAGGGTGATGGAAATAGGAAGTTCGATTTTGTCAGTAAATGTCTGTGCTCTTCATACTTACCTGACCGGGGCGGAGGTCACAAGATTGAAAGAGGAGCAACACTCACTGCTTGTCCGGAGGAAATCCAGTCTCAGGAACAAGTCGGGCACAGCGCCAGATGACGATAACCCAGTGTGATGAGTGCTGGGAATTTGAATAGGAGCACAGTTTGCCATTTCACCGCAGAAAAAGAAATTGCTCTTCTTGAAGACATCTTGGAAAGCATCCCAGGGGAAAGCTGCTTGAAATGCATTTTAAAGAAAGAATAAGAGTTCAGGAGTTGGAGTCACAGGGTGGCCACTCTAAGGATGGAGAATTCAGAGGATTCCAAGGGGTTTGTCCTCATGAGCTGGATCGGCCGTGAAGTGTTTGTGTGGGAAGTGAGGTAAAACGAAATCTGAAGATTCGACAGCCTGCGGGAAGAGTATGAAGTCTTGGGTTCTCTCCTAGTAAGTGTGGGAATCATGCCCAAAATACTGCTCTCAACTAAAGACAGAAGTTTTTCACAAGTCACCGCTCTTCCTTTTTAAAGAACTGACATCGATACTTGAACATTTTGCAAATTTTCCTGACTTAGCTGTCACCTTTAATCATATTTTGAATGTTTAATATCTAGTATGACTTTAGTAACAATAAAAAGATTCACATGATAGATTTACTGCTAGTTGACCATTCTGACCTACACAGCCTCAGTTTCAGTTGGTTCAAACTGTGTTTTGTGGTGACAGTGCCTAATCTTTTTCATCATATTGTTTTATATAGTTCATGGGTGATAAATGTGCTCCTTAGTACTTTAAAAAAATTATTTAATACATTATGATTGTGAGTAAAAAACTTCGTAAAAATCAAAGTACTTTTATACAGTACATACCATACAATTTTCAGAATTTCTCATTTACAAATAGTACATTTTTAAAAAATTCTAAATAAGTACAATTTACATTTCAAATCTCAATAGAATTTTTAAGAAGGCTCATTTTTAATGAATAATGAGGTCAAGTAGAATGTATTTGTACCTCTTTACAAATGCCACTTTTCCATCTCAGGATGAGAGGGTCCTGGTTTCTTGCTTCTCCATAGTACATTCATTGTTGGAGGCATGTCATTTCCCTACCTATGAATTGCTTAGGTTCTTCTTGTCTACACACATTTTTCAAGAATTGTGTTTTAGTTTTTCCTTGGAATCAAGTAATGAAATGGCCTTACATTGGTCCAAACAGGTGAATCCCTCTTCCCTTGAAGCCAGTGTCTTACTGTTTTCTTTCCTGATTTTCCTTGAGTCTGACATTGTTACCATTCCACAGTCATTCAGTATTGATGACTGATCTTTGGATTTATCAAAGAACTACTGGAAAGCTCATTCTTGTATGACTAAGGTAGAATCTACCCAAGGGCTTTTAATTATCTTTAGACTCCACCTGTGGGAATGAAACAAAACAACATGAAAAAGTACTTCCAACCCATGGTGACTTATACATCAACTATGTTTTATTGTTTCTTTGTTTGTTTGTTTTTATGGTACTGGAGATTGAACTCAGGTCCTTGAGCTTGGGAGGCAGGCAGCAGAACCACTGAGCTAAATCCCCGGCCACCAACTACATTTCATTGAAGTGCTTGCTGTGCTGATCGACTTTTTGCTGGGAAAGGACAAGTGTTTGGGAAAAAGTGAGTCAATTCCTGAAAGTGTTAGACATCATGAGGAATAAGTACTGGAGGGGAGAATGTATCTAGGAACTGATCCTGAGAAGCACAAAGGGAGGGTGGACATTGGGCAGGAAGCCAAGGAGGAAACAAACTCCCAAAGCTAACACTGTGAGCTGCTAGGGATTCTCCTAGGGTCTCTGAAGAAGGGCTCAGATTTCTTTCAGAGTTATCTCCTGAAAAGCAGGATGCTGGAACATGTATTTATCCATGATAGTTCCGGCCTGGGCTCAGTGTTCTGCTAGCTGCTGTTTATGTCTCCTGAGTAAGAACAGGACAGTTTGTGTGGAGTGGTGGTGGCATTTCACCAGACCTGAGCTTTGAGGCAAAGATGAGAAGATATAACACACGTCCAGGGGTGGTGCTGCAGGCCCATAATCCCAGCCTGATGGCCTGAGGCAAGAAGCTCTCTGTGAGTTTGAGGCCAGCCAGGGCTACATAGTCAGATCCTGTCTTTAAAAAAATAAGATGTGCAATAGATGACATGAGATGTTTTGTAGAAACAAACACTGTGAGGGCTGAAAGAGTAACCTGAGGAAACTTCTATCACTTTCTAAGTTTAGCCCAGCACGAGTCTTTACTAGTTCTCCTTGCCTGGCTCTCACAGGCTGATTTCTTCTCCATTACCCAGCCTTAGAAATCACAAGAACTGGAGACAAATGGTTTGGTTTTTAATCTTCTGAACTTATTTTTCGTTTTCCTTTCATCGTCTTTTACTACATATCTGAATGAGAAGTTACTGTGTCTCTTAGCTTTCCGATATTTTACTTTTGAAATGCACTAGATGGTTCCTAGGAATCATCTTCAGCCTGAACCTGTTAGGAGTCCTCTCTTCCAAGAATGCTCACCCGGGAGCCTGGACCCCAGCACCTCCCTCCCTGGTCCGCTGTGTGCTGACAGAGAAGCCAGGGATCTAGGAGATTTCCAGAGACTGTCGCTGCACCCATATGCCCGAGATTCACTGTTCACCTTGCTTCTTTGAGGTAAATGCTATTTTCAGAAGGTTTGTGGAAAATATCCCTCATGGGGCTGGGAGTGATAATGTAGTGGAAGAGCACTTGCCTAGCACGTCCAGCATGGGTTTGACCCCCAAAATAAAACAGTGTATGAAATATATTAGGAATAAGACATACTGTTGGTTATAGAAGTTTAATAAATTAATATATGATCACAAAGAAAATGTTCCTAATCTGAAGTAAATAGCAGATTGACAAATTGGATTCCCAGTGCAAAAAATTTAAATATAGGCAAGATAGCGACCAGAACATCATCAGTCATCAGTTAGATAATGCTTTCTATGCAAAAATTAGCAAGAATGTGTGAGTCTGCAGGTTGCCATTGGAGCCACTGTCCTGAGGAAAGGAAACCAGCTACTCTTAGGTTAGCTGGCATGTTCTCTGACAGACTAAATTCCATTTTGAATGACCGCTCTTCTGCTGCAAAAGCAAATTGTTGGATTGATGGTGCTACTTAGGAGATCCAACTGCAATGCTGTTTTGAAAGAAGAAAAACTATTTTATTTCTAAAATGCCTATTTGTTTCTAATTTATGAGGAAAAGTATTTTTTCTTTTACTAGCATGTTGACCAATAAGTGGAGAGTATTTCTCAGCCCCGAAGGGTTAAAGAGAGTAGAATAAATTATTTACTGCTATTTTCCATAACCACACACCAAAGTGAAAAATCAAAAGGAGAAAGAGAGGCTGCAAAGCTTTCTTGACTTTCAAACATGGTGCCAGGACACCAGGAGATGGAACAGGGGATACCACTCCTACCCCTCTGAAGGCCCTGTCCCAGCTAAGCCATTACCAGGGTCACCTGTGAAAAACGAGAGCAGGTATCATCAGTGCAGGCATGGTTCTGATGAGTTCACTGTTCTCTTACAACACAGCATTTGACATTCTTTACCCTATATTGTTTAACATTATCATGTACTATGCAGTAGTAAAGTGAGGATTTTATTGTGGATCAAGACTCAAAATGACAATCAACTTATACAACTTCATTTCTTCTTGGTTGATATGCCCAGAAGTTAAATTGGTTTTCCCCATCCATACAGTCAGTGGCAGGGCTGAGACTAGAAACACAGCTTCTAACTGCGGATGGTTGGGGTCCAGCCCACACAGGCCTGTCACTGTGGATGGGAGGACATGTACAGGGCATCTCGGTGGGGTTCTCCGTGGGCAGAGGTGGACGGGGAGAGTATGGTGGGTCAGTAGCCCTCAGAGCAATTTTGGAACTTGAACCAATAAACAATGTTTCTAGATAAGATACTTTATCACTGGTCTTGTTTATAATAGTGAGCACATGGTTCTAATGTTCCACCTGTCGGTAGTGTGAGGCTGGGTGGGTGAATTCTACATGGCATTTCCGGTGTGCACAGGTTGGCAGGGGCTGGTAGCACTGTCAACTGGAACTCCAAGCCAGCGTTGGGAGCTCACCTTCCACTCAGTGCTGGCAGGAGTAAGTGGGAGGACGCTGATGGTGGATGGCAGTGGCTTTGAGCATGTGCCACCTCTGCCTTTCTGAGAATTTCTTCCCCAGGGATATTCGAGTTCAGTGTTGGATTGGGACTTGTGAGAAAGTACATGTTCTTGTATAAGCTCATCATCTTTACATTTTACAGGATGCCAACATGTCAAATGTTTGAATATTGAGATGTAATTTTATCGTGGCTTCTATTGATTGGGTTTTATGACTTTGTAAATGAAAGCAGAGCTTGGCAAGTCAGGTGACTCAGTTTGACAGAATCTTCATTCTTCTAACAAACAAACTGTACCTAACAAAAATCCACTTTAGAGCTCACATGGGTTCAGCCCTGTGCCAGTTGAAAGGAGAACCCAGTGGAGAGCACAGAAGGGTGATGATTGGCCAGGGACAGTTGGCAGGGCACATAAAGGACAGCTGTGGAGCAGCTGGGATGGCCAGCACCACTGGTGGCAGCACCATGAGCGGATGTCCATTTTTAGGAAGCAACTCTGGGTGAGTATTTACTTTTGTTCTAAGTGGAGTTGGGCTCTGAAAAGCTCCAAGTAGGAACAGTCTTATTTCTGATTGTAGAGGGCCCTGAAGATTCTGCCTTCTATTTCCTTCTTTAACAACCCAAACAGAATTGGTAACGGAATTTGAATCATTCAGATGATTAGGTAACTATGTCTTTTCAAGTTCATTTTTCTCTTCATTTATTAAAACTGTAGATATGCTTTTAAAAGTCTGTCTGTAGAAGACAGTAAAGAAGATGAGTCACAAAGCGGTGTGAATAAAGCCAGCAGAGGAGGAGTTGTCTATGGGAACTACCTGCATGTAAGTGACAGGGTCCTAAAATCCCCCGATCCCCTATCTATACAAATTTGTTTCTTCTACTTTTATAAAAATAATTCTAGAGACTTGTAGGTGAAAATTGACCTCACTGGTAGAAGCTCAGTAGCAGCAGATGAAGGGAGGGGAGAAAGAATGGAAAAAGAATTAAAATGTGTTCTGTGTGTGAACCAACTGCCCGTGATGAGTGTAATCACTAGGTACTGCAAACTCATACTGATAAAAGTAAAAATTAAGCAAAAGCAGAGAATTTCGGGTTGGGGCAGAAGGGTGAAGATAAAAGGCAGACATTACACAACTTGGATAAATAAGACATGGTCAATACACCCCAGCCTAGATAACTGCAAATGTGTCTCAGAAAATGTTCTGTTTTAAATCTCTGATCATAAAGTCGAAATGATAAAGACATACTGAGAATTTTCTTGAAACCATTAGTTTTTAGATAAAAGTGCCATTAATAAATGAACTATGTGAAGATTATTTGGGGTTAAGTTTGTTTTTAAGCATGTTTGTCTTCTTTTTCTTTTTAAAGAAACAAAATGGTTATTGTCCTTGATGTGTGTCTAAGGATGAACTGACAAAGAGTGTTTAGATCTCATTAGAACAGGGTCCAAAGGGGAATAAATGGGGAGAGCAGGACAGAAGTGCAGACAGCTTAGGCAGGTTGTCAAGTTTTCATCATTCTCATTTCATGAAATTGAAAAGAAAAGACATCTCAGAGTGTCATAGGACTTGTGACAAAATCCTCCCAAACACATTTTTTTCTGAGAAAAATTTAAAAATCCTAATTTTAACTCACTCTTTATGATGAGACTCATTCATCATTTAAAATAAAATAGAAAGGTTTCAGGAAGTTTGGAATGTTGAGGAACTTTTTCCAGAATTCTATTCCTTTATTAAAGCTGACTAAAAAACTCAAGTTCCACAATTTTGAAATCTGCCTATTTTTCATTTAAAGCTGGAAAAAATTTTGAATGCACAAGAACTTCAAAGTGAAATAAAAGGAAATAAAATCCACGATGAGCATCTTTTTATCATCACTCATCAAGGTAAGTTGGAAAGGGTCAGAGAACCACTGCTCCACAGGCACCTGCCGTCTAGAGGAGGCCAGCTGCCATTTTTATCTTTCAGCTGGTGAAAGATCCAGGGACTGCCTTTGTTGGAAATGCCTGAGAATATTTTGTTGTCAGATAAAGTCTCTTAGGAAATCTCTTGGGCTTTTATAACAGTCATCTGTATGTTCCTTTGGTGCTAATGTGTCTAGCTTTATTCTTAACTCCATCTCTTGGAATTTCCCAAAGAATCTGCAAGCATAGATGACATTATTTCTCAACTTAGAGTGTTAAAAAACTATTTCCACAAAATGAATTGTTCAAGTTTATTGAAGTTCTATGTAGTTTCATAAAAAGTCTAATATTGGGAAAAATGTTTTCTAAAATGTGTTTTGGCCACACTTTCTACTTCTGGGGAGTGCTTTTAGTTTAAGAGAGCATGGCCTGTTATGCTACTGTAAGTCTTAAGATGCTGAAACATCAGTCCCCATGTGTAGGTGGTTTGCTCTTAACCAGTGTACAAACGAGTCCACTCCAGTCAGGAATGAGTCTGATCACGTGACTCCCTCATACTAGCTTTGCCACTTCTGCTTCGTGTCAGCTTTATAAATACATTTGTTGAGAGGAACCAGTGTAATAATAATGAACACAAAGCACATAGACAACATGCCTGGCATAGTAAAGCATTTAATAAATGGAGCGTATTCTAACTTTAACCCTAATACTTATTTGTAGCATAATTGAGTCTATATTTCATTTATGAGTTTTAAAGTTCCATTTGTATTTATTTTCAAATATGTTAAATGCATCTTTCACATAACTGTGGTCAGAGCTCCTGTAATGTTTTCACTGACAAGTGTTTTCTGATTACAGCTTATGAACTCTGGTTTAAGCAAATTCTCTGGGAATTAGATTCTGTTCGAGAGATCTTTCAGAATGGTCATGTAAGTTATCATGCCATAGAATTGTTTTTATATATTTTTGGATGCTCAAGAAAATATTAATTTCAAAAATATAACACCAAATATTGAAATGACTAATGATTTGAGAAAACCCCACTTTCTTATTTTTGGATTTGTTTTGAGACAAGTCTCCTTTGAGTTCAGGCAGACTTGAATTCACTGAACTCACAGGCAGCCCGGCCTGGCCTCCAACTCTGAGACAATCCTCCTGTCTCAGCCTCCAGAATGCTGAGATTGCAGGTGTGAACCACCATACCTGGTTTAAAAAAACAAAACAAAACAATAAAAAAAAACAAACACTTTCTGAGTAGATCATTTCATGGTACTTTCTTAGCTCCATTGCTTTAAAGTTTTTTTCAAATATAGTTTTCAAGTCCTTTGTGTAGAACTCGATATATTTTTCTTTGAAAAAAAATGCTATAAATCAGAGTAGAGTATCCAGCTGCCTGAGACCCCTTAATTAATGAGTAACAATTATATTTCTAATGCCTGTATCTTTTGCAAGAAAGGAGCAATAATAGAATGAGAAAGGAAGAGGAGGAGGAAGAAGAAAAAGGGGAAAATAAGAGGAAGAGGGAAGCTGGAAGAAGAGGAAAAAGGACAGCAGGAGGGTGGAGAGGCCTTGGGCGGCATCATCAGAAGTCCCACCTGCACCGGGCTGGGCCCCAGTTTGCTTCCTCTTCCCAGAGCTCCAGGGGCAGCCTGGAGTCCTGTCCTAAGGGGCCCCTCCAAGAAGGCTGATCCCGAGCCACACTGAGCCCGACCTGCTCTTGTGCTGTGGACAGAAGCCTTCGCTGGCCCTGGCTGCTGTGGCTCTCAGAGAAAAGCAGATACACAGGTTGCCTAGAATGCTCTTCTTTTGAGCCAAAGTTAAAATTAAAAGAGAAATTTGTGTGGAAAACGTGGGAGTTGTGTCCTGGCGTTGACTTCCACTTCACTTCCGTACCATTTTCATTTTTAAAGAAAGAAAAAGGATTCTGAATTGGTACCATTTCTCACACACAATCCAGAATGGTTACTAGCCAGTTCCGATCTTCCTCTTTAATTCTGCTTTCACCTAAGATGAGCAGGAAGGCACTGTGTCTGTGTCTCCTCCTCACCATCAGGTCCGGGACGAGCGGAACATGCTCAAGGTGGTCACTCGCATGCATCGGGTGGTGGTCATCCTCAAACTCCTGGTGCAGCAGTTTTCTGTCCTGGACACCATGACAGCCTTGGACTTCAACGACTTCAGGTACACAGCCAGCTGAGGCATCCGAGCCAGACCTTCCCGCTTCCCGCTGGCAGGACCCACCTTAAGGACACCCCACCCCTGCACTGGGAACTGAACCCAGGCCTTCACAGTGAGCTGCACCGCAGCCCTTTCCTTATGTCTTATTTTGAGGCAAGACCTCACTAAATCATTGAGCTGCCCAAGCTGGGCTCAAACTAGTGATCCTCTTGCTTTGGCTTTTCAGAGTTTGGGGATTCCAGGTGTGCACCACCACACCCTACTGACTTGGGGTCTTTAATCACACAACATCTGAGAAGTCATCAAAAAACATTTGACCATTTTTACAAAGAAAAATAGTGTGACCAAAAAATTTCAGTTCATTATCCTATATTCTGCTTTTCTCCAAAATGGATTTTACACAGCAAAAATGGCTAAGATAGCAATGACATATGCAGTTAACTTAAAAATTAAAACAAAAGAAACAAGTGATACCTAAAGAAGTATGCCAATCAAAAGCACCAGTACAACTGATGTCCTGAGCCATTAATTTTGGTTTTCAATTACTACGCAAGCCAAGCCATGTATGTGTGTCACGTGAGCTCAGGGGCGCACACACACACACACACACACACACACACGCACACACACTCTGTTTAAAAAGCATACTGTTTTCTTACCAAAATTATAGAAGAAATTTTTTGAAGAAACTTAACTTGAGTGTGTGATATGGTGTAATAGGCAATCCCAACATGTTTGACAACAAAGAGAAATGTAGCTGGATATTTTGGGTGGATTTTAAAAATTCAGGTTGCAGCATCAGTTAGATGAAAGACATTTACAGGAACCTGAGAGTGTGGATGATCTGCAGGGTGGGAATTCTGACTTTTTTTATTGCCTTTTTCATACTAGGCAGCACCTCATTTATTTCACTTGTGTTATTTCATTGCTGCTCATAATAATTTCAAATAGCGAGGTGAATGGAAGTATGCAAGAATGCCTTTTGTGGCAGGGATGAAATACTTTGTAAACAATCTTTTAGCATTGTGAAGCTCTGTGTCCACCTGTCTTTATCTTAGAAAATATCTAACAATAAACATTTGCGTATACACAATTGCACACACCACACACATGTATATAGCATTTGTTTAATATATATTTATGGAAATGTATATAAGATACATATTATATGTCAAAGTGCATAGTATACATATGAAATATATGTGAAACTTCACAACTGTACAAACTGCCCAGTTTCAAATTGATTGACAGCAATTGTGGTGTTTAAGGAGGTCATTTTCCTTATTTTAACAAAGGCCAAATCACAGGTTCACATTTAAGTGGTCGTACATGTCACTCTTTGGTAATGTACCAAGAACCTTTCACAAGAGAAGAAACCATGTGCTGCTTGTCCATAGAGAAGCATAAATTCAAGTGATTTGTGGGAAATGGATGCGCTTTGAGACCGTAGCGCTAAGTGAAATCAGTCAGACATTGAAGGTTAAATAGTGCATAGTTGCTTTTATGTGAGACACCCAAAGTATAAATAATTTACAGAGCAAAATAAGAGACAGATGATGATGAACAGGGAGCTAGACCGTGCAGAGATGGGAGGGGTCTGGGATGCCAGGACAGGAGGGAGAAGGGGAGGGAAAGTGAAGAGGATGAAGATGGGGCCGGCGAGCATGTAGGGCATCAGCTCCCCAGGACAAATGCATTCCCTGTGCGTCTCACGCGTATACTAATGAACACTAGGCTAGAAGAAGAAACCATCGCAGTGACACGCGGTGTCAGCCCACCTCTTCCCTGCTCTTCTCTTCCTGTATTTATTCTCAGAGAGTACTTAGTTCCAGCCTCAGGCTTCCAGAGTTTGCAATTCCGACTCTTAGAAAACAAGATAGGCGTGCTTCAGAGCATGCGAGTGCCCTACAACAGAAGGCATTACCGAGACAACTTCAGCGGAGAAGACGACGAGGGTCTGCTGAAGTCAGAGCAGGACAAGACCCTGCTGCAGCTGGTGGAGGTACGGCTGCCCTGCCCCTGCCCTCCTACTCGGCGTTCTTTGCCTCCGCTTCTGGAGAACCGATCTCTGAAACATAGCAACACTGGGCTATGTAAAAGGGACGGGAAAATTTACAAAATGCTAAGTCGTAAATTCAACTTATTAAAATAGAGTATCTTGGGAAACTAAGTTAATATTTAATAATCTCAGATGATTAAAGCAATTCCTTTAAGCATCCCTACTAAACAATATTTAATTAGCAGGGTTTTCAACTAGTGTGGGTGATTTTTACAAATTAAATTAAATTACTAAGAACTTTTCCCTTCATATCCACATTCCCTAGTGGTCTATAAATAGACTTTCAGGATTATTAAGTTGAGTCTTTATAGGTAAATTATTAAATAAGATTTGTATTGTCCTGATTTACTTCAGAAAGTCTTTTCTTTGCAAATTAAACTTTTAATAAATTATACAGAGCTCACTAATCTTCACAGTGTTGTAAGTGTGGATTTATGTTATCGTATCCTACATATTATCCTATAATGACTTATAAATGCAGAGAGAAAAAAAATCACACAACTAAGTTCAAAACTAAAAATAGGTTAAAAGAGAACCCATAAATGTACATAAATTTACTTTTATTTTTAGATTTCAAGGTCTTATACAATCTTAAAATAATCACATGGGTAGTTAATTTTAAGGTTAGTAAGTGAACAATGCTTCTGAGATTAAAGGAGATCATATCTTATACAAGTCACATCCATCTGCACCTAAAACAAAATATTTTGAGAATAAACACTAAGACATTATTAAAACAAGGTTGATAAATGTTCATAGAATTCTAGGTGAAAACTGTCAGAAATTTATTTAAGAAATAAGAAATAAACATTATTGATGATAATTACTTTAAAGATTTGGAAAATTAAACATGTGAATTGGTATTTCATAAATGAGAAAATGGAAGGCAAGGAAAAATACAAATAAACTTGAAATATGTTTTCCAATAGTATGAAGATTTCTGGTTTCAAGTTTATGAATGTTAGGTACAATATGTTTTATATGTTTAAAATTTTGCCACTTATTTACCTAAAAATAATATTTACTTTAGGCCTGGTTGGAAAGAACGCCTGGTTTAGAGCCACATGGATTTAACTTCTGGGGAAAGTTTGAAAAAAATGTCACCAAAGGACTAGAAGAGGAATTCATAAAGATTCAGGTATTTTTGATGCCATGAGTTAATATAAATGTACTACAGAAGTATTACGGATTTTTAAAAAATATTGCCTACTGTTCTTTTTTCTCATATTCTTTTTATTCATATATTTTCTTGGACTATTGAATGATCGATTCAGTTTTCCTCATGTGTAATAAAACTCATTACTAAATTAAGATGTGTTGCAGGGAAGATTTCTGTTTGTTGCAAACCACTGAACTTAATAGAATGATGTCTCTTGAAAAATTCCACATTATGACCAATTCTAGGCACAAATAAGAACTGGGGGGGTTGCCAAGTAAATACATTTAACCATATTATTTTTCTTTTGTTCTTATTTATCTGCTGGGTCCCATCTATTAGCCATGGATTATGTCAATTCGCTTTTGCTTGAAAAATACTGTTAATTCTCATTTTCCTCAAATCACATGTCCTTCGTCATCTATGAGTAAATTTCTCAGTGAATTGTTCAAATTCTTTACCTGAATGGGCTGTGTCAGGTAGTATAGAGAATGCAGACTTCGAAGTCCCCTGGCTGGGCTGGAATTCCATCTCCCCAGTGGAACTTTGTGAGAACAAACCCATAGCTTCTCCTTGCTGCACTTTTCCCATTAACAAAGCAGAGAGAATATCTACCTTAAGGGATCATGGTGAGCTTTCCATGAGACTGGTGCTTGCAATGCTAGATTTAGAGCAATAGTTAGGATAATTACTCACTCCCCTTGCCCTCAGGCCACTCAGTGAGCCTCCCTCCCTCCCTCATCCTGCACAAATGATAACACATGCGCAAATCCAAGACACACGTTTAATCTTAACTTTACTTGGCTTCTCAGCAGCACTCAATACTAATGGCTACCGATTACCCAAACATTCCTTCCCGTGAGTTTTAGTATGCATCATAATATCTGCACATACATTCTCTAGCTCTTGTTTCTCTCTTTCCTTTAGTTGCTCATAATTCTCTCTCAGACCAATAAATGAAGAGTTTGAAATGCATTCCCTTAGCACTTTCTGTTCTATCTCTGGACTGTTTAATTTGATCAATATTGAATTATTTGCCAATAATTATCCAACGTGTATCTCTGGCGTGCATATCTCTTGGATTTCCATACATATATGTGGTGCTCTACTTACTGTTTCCTCTTAGTCTTCTCTTTTTTTTTTTTTGCACTAGGGATCGAACTTGAGACCTTGGACTTGTGAGGCAGGCAGCAGCACCACTGAGTTAAATCCCAGGCCCTTCTCTTGGTCTTCTTAAAAACAGACCAATAAAATCAAACTTAGATGATGTTCCCTTTCACCCACTATCATTCTGACCTGGTCTCTTCAGAATGAAGGAAGTTTTTCTCCTCTGAGCCTTCCAGTTGGTCCAGGCTTTCCCTTCTGAGTGCTCCTAGTCCTAAGTGTTGGCAATTTCTTTGAGCTATCACCACATCCAACCGGTTCCACCCTTCACACCATGTCAGTGGTGAACCTCCTTTCATCTCTCACCATCACCCTTAGGTAAATTGCCCTAGTTTTCCACCTGTTCTTCAGGAATAAGTCTCTAACATGTCTTAGCTGGCTCCCAATATGGCTCCATAACAATTCATTCTCCCCATGGTAGTTGGAGTCATCTTTTCGAAATGCAAATCTGATCATATCTCCTTTTTGCTTAAAATCTTCTGATATCTCTTTATTGTTGGCAGCAGAAGGATAAAATCCTTAACAGGGTCTCTGGTGCCTTTTGTATCTCCCATGTTCCGACATTGTCATTGCTGATCTCCTTACTACCATACCACACTGTCTTATGGTGCTCATGCTTCTGTATTGCAGTGTGGTGCTCTGGTGATTGTTTGATGATGCCTTCTTTGCATCAGGTGGTGGTGGGTGCAAATTTTGCTCAAAATTTTAACACCATCACCTCCCCATGAACTTTTATTGTATAAAGGAATAATTTATTGGCAATGAGAAGCATACGGAGTCTTTCTATGCCACATGTTTGTTCTAAGGAATTGAAAATAATTGGGTTAACTAATTTGGTCCACTTCAGTTGATTTATAAGAAAGGCAAGTATGATAAGCAGAAAAGTAAGATCTGCCTTAAACCAGGCAATGGCTGTCAAGTGAATGCAAATATAGCACATATTTAAGAAATTGTATTTATGGCATGTAGTATTAAATAGAGAATTTCAACACAGCTAAAAGTTTTCCCAAGAATTCTTACCTTTTCCTAGGTAGAATTTACTTAAACCTGTGTTAAATAATTGCTGTTTAATGTTAGATTATTCTTGATGACTTGTTCTTATCTTTAATTATAATATCTTAGCCTATCTCTCAAGATACTTACAAAGAGACTATTTGCACATATCAAACTACTTAAATTTAAAAGATAGAACCCGTGTGTGTGCGTGTATGTGTGTGTGTGTGTGTGTGGGTGTGTGTGTATGGGTGTGTGAAAGTTCCCAGTTTATTAAAAGTAATTTCCAAATTGTAATATTGGTTGATTAAATATTCCAAGTATGCCCTTTCTGCAACCTGTCAGGCTGTTTAAACAAAGTGTTCTAAAACAGGATTCTGTTCTCATTTGTGACTATATCCCGTATTTTTCCTAAAGGCTAAAGAAGAGTCTGAAGAAAAAGAGGAAGAAATGGCTGAATTTCAGAAACACAAAGAGGTGCTGCTGTCCTTATTTGATGAGAAGCGTCATGAACATCTCCTTAGTAAAGGTACATCTTTTTACTGTCAGGATTGTTTCCCAAGAATAAACGAATGTGAGATCAAAATATAGTTTTATAAGCCTGTCAAAGTTGGGGTAAATAGAATGAGAGTTGCTGTCCTACTTATAGAAGCAAGAATTGTCTAAGTGTTGTCTCCTATGGTAATAGGCTTCTGTGTTCAGTGTATTTCAAAATCTTTAGCAAAAATTGTCATAGTACGTGCTCAGCACGAGGAGTACCGAGCTAGATTTGATATGGCTTGCAAATTCCTCACAGCTTAACCGGGACAGAAGTGAAAAGAACTCATTGTAATTGGACAAATATCTGCCGTAACTCAGGTGAAAGGAGAAAGGAACTATTCTCAGTCAGGCTGACTGGGCAGTTTTCCACGCAGACCAGGAAAAGTATCTGCTCAGGCTTTTGTCTCAATTTTCGACACAATGTTGAGCTATTATTTCTTGAAACTAATTGGCCATTATGATCAGTAACTTCATTAGTCAACTGTTTTCTTTATTTGTTCGAGTCTATTCTGTTCATTTTGATTTGGACTTTTTATTGTATAGCAAATCAGAGTCTTTTCAGAAAAAGGCTGTTTAAGCAAAGTGTTAGTAACACTTAATTTTAATAACAAAATTACGAAGTGTGGCAATATATGAAATTAGTGTTAAATTGTTTAAGCTTAAAAGATTTTAGCCTCAGTTTCCCAAAAGACTAAAAGAATGGAAAATCTTGTTTCCTGCAGTGAAGATAAAAGTCTTTTATTACAGCGCACGTGCGATTTTATATAGGTCTTGTGTTCCTTAAAACCAAGAAAACTAATTTTAAGTGAATTAGACAAAACTACTTTCAAATGTAGTTTGGAAGGCATCTTCTTCAGTTTTTTGAAAAGTAAATCATCATACTATTTTAGTTGAAAATTGATATTTATGAGGGATGTTAAACATTTTTGTATCATTTCCCTAATGTAAGATGATATTAAAAGGTTTCGAGAATTTAAAATGTACATACTTTGTTTAGCTTTTAGAATCCAATATTCAAATAATGTTTTGAATGAAGGTTTCCAAATTCATGCCAAGAAATAAAAAATTTAAACTAAACTTAAATTGTGTAAAGCAATAATGCCAAGTTAACACAGTCCTGGGTTAGCTCTAAAGAAGCAGCTCGCTTTGCATTTCTCAGGCGAAAGACGACTGTCGTACAGAGCACTCCAGGGAGCCCTGATGATACATTTTTACAGGTAAGAACCACCAGAAGAGAGGGCACAGAGGGGAGCAGCCAGGAGTGGCTGCAGATGACATGCCAAGCATAAAGCTTTTAAATTGGAATCCTACTTTAATATGGTAACTCTGTTTTTAGAGAAAATTTCAAAAACATTTTTTTTTTAATTTTTACTTTTAAATAACAAAAATGTAACTACCTCTGAAGCAGGTTACAGACACACTAGCAAATTATTCAAATATCCTTTTTTACTAAACTACAAAAGGTATTGTGTTCTATTAAATGTCCTAAAAGACCAAAGTTCATTTTTTTTCAGAAACTCACTCGTGAAATGTGTCCTGTCATTAAGCAGTGTTTTGGGATAATTTCTGATTTATAAAGTAAAGCAGAACACCTCATGAGCTTTTTTTCTACTTACAGTTGCCTTTACTGTCTGAAATAGCTGAGATGCCTCTTAAATATTCACACACTTCTACTTCAAGTATGTAAAGTTCCTCCTTAATAGTTCATGAATTATGACTAAACAGGTCAGCAAGCTGGCTAAAAGGCTTCAAACACCAATACTTATGTTTATTTCCTCGTATTTCTTTAATTTTAAAAACTCCTCTTAAATTTGTTTCTTCAGAGTGCCAGAGGAACAAAATCCTTAGTTCTTTTCTTAAACTCAAAATAAATATAGGTCACTCAAGCTTAGGTGTCCTAAGAAAAATCTGTACTGAGAAAGTTGAAGTATTCCATGAAAAAAGGAAAACAAATATATGAGAAAATGAAAAGTAGTCTTTGTGTATTTTAATGTGTTTACTTCAAAGCTTCAAACTTGCATTAGTGGGGAAATCCCAGGCAGTGTATATGTCTTCCTTTTGCTAAGAATCTATCTTAAGTGTGACTCTGGCTGGATGATTTTTGTGTATTAAGTGGAATTTTCTAAACTTCAAAAAAATATTGCAAAATATTATTCTCATTTTTGAGATGAAGAGATAGAACAATCCCAAAGATGCTAGGGCTCTTACATGGCAAACTAGATGTTCATCACCAGGCCTCTTCTTAACACATTGGATTGGCTTAAATAAATGGCTTCTTCTTTTGCTTTTTTTTTTTCTTTAGGGAAGAGCCTCGATTCCAGGTCCCTTTTCAGCTGCTGACTTTTCTTACGGACATAGACACGCTCATATCCAAATGGAGATGTAAGTGCTGCTCCCACTCCCAAATTCCTCCCCGTCCATTCTTTTCCTTTATGCCCATACTTTTGCTGGCTCAAGAAAATGTTTTAATTTATTTTTATAACCAGAAGGAAAAATGAACTTTAGAACAAAGGAATTGTCTAAATATAGTATATAACAGTAATATTCCCATCCATGTGTCAATGCAATTTTAAAATATATATTCTATTTTTTTAATGGAGTGAGGGTCCCACAAATGGAAAACTGGCAAGGCTTCATGAAGGTCACAGCTCGAGGCTGAGCACAGGGTCGCAGGAGCTCAGGTTGTGGGCAGTAGGCAACCTCACGCTCTCCCCCAGCGTGTGCCCCTTCCACATGGCTGAGCCATAAGTCACCAGCACTTTCTCAGAGGCAATAATCATTACCAGCCCCTTGTTTTTAGAACACTGTGAGCCTAGTGACACAAAAAGATTGTGGAATAAATGCATGTGTCTGTCTAGATAACCACGTGTGCTTGGTGCATCGGATGCTGGGCAGCAAGGCAGGCACTGGTGGCTCCTCCGGGTACCATTATCTGCGCTCGACCATGAGGTGAGGCGGGACCCTCCTGCAATGGGGAGTCACCTCGCATTGCTAGGGAGAGCCTCTTACTGTCCCCTGCTGGACTGCACTCGACTCCTTTGGAGTTGGGTGCTCAGATGCCGCTCCTTGGGTGAGAACTGGGTAAAGTTCCCTGTTCTGGAATCTGATCTTCGTGGTCCTAGGGTGAGAAGGATCATGGTATGGGTGCAGCTCGCTGGGGAGGCTGTGAAGGCATAAAGGACTAACCGCGTTCACACCCTGGAGGAAGTCTTCCAGTTCATCCTGGCTCAGGTCTCCAGAAGACTAGTCATTTCATCATTAATATCATTAATTCCCCTACGATCTCTTTGAATGACACAGCTTTTTAATGTTTATTTTCGTTTTTATTTTTGTTACTGAGGATTAAACCTAGGACCTGCACACAGAGTTGCATCCCAAGCTCTCTTTGCATTTTGAGACAAGATCTTGCTGAGATCTTACCTCGGCTATGTTAGAACGTGTGATTCTCTGGCTTCAGCCTCCCAGAATCCTGGAATTAGAGGCAGGCACCACCATACCCAGCTTTGTTTCTTGTTTTTTGATGTGATTCTATTTTACATTATTAAACAACTTTCAGCTACTCCAGAAAGTGCGCTTTTCACAATCCTTAGGAGAGAAGAAGTTTGTATTTATTGAGGGCATGAAACATGCTTAAATGCTAAATGTTAGGACATTTTTGCATTATTTTAATATTCACAGCATCATAGGAAAAATCGAGAAACCATGTGAAATTGAGAAACTGTGGCTCCTTGGAAAACAGGAATCAGCTTGCTAAGTTTAGTGTTCATGTGCAGCACCCAAAGTCCTTAGTATACCTTGCTTTCATCCATACTCTCCACCAGATTGGCTGGTTTATTAAATACACAGGTTCAAAGTGTTATCACTTTCATGCTTGGCTAGCATGAGGCACTGGGCTTCATTTCCAGCACTGAGAGAGAATAAACATGCATTAGTAGACTGGTGGGAATAATTACCCCAAACAGCATTTTTGCTGATTCATTGTCTCATTTAATTTACACAAAGTCCTGGCCAGAGGAAAGGACTGTAGCATTTATTTATAGAATTAGAAATCATTTTTATTTACCTATGGAAGTTTGAATCCTGTGTCCTTGACCACTGGTTTACAGGTGATAGAATCAGGATTTCAACCTAGATTTACTTGACTTCAAAGACAAAAGTTTGTCCTGTATAAAACTGCAGCAGTCAAAATGGGCCGGGGATCTAGCTCAGTGATTCAGAGGCCTGCCTCCGCAAGCACAAGGACCCAAGTTCAAGTTCAATCCCCATATCAAAAAAAAAAAAGCCCTCTAACAAACACAAACACAAAAGATATTGTAATGTTAAAATCACACATGGATATTTTAATGGACCAAGATGGCTCTCAGTGTACTGAAACCTTCAGTGGTACTGGCAGCTACTTTGTGGTTGCGAAATATTGTCCAATGAGGAATCACAGACTCTATGTGCTTTAAATTTATAACTGTGCATACAATCCTTTAAAAGTAGGAAATGATAACACTCTCTGAAGATAGCATGACAGGGATTCTAGGTTTTAATCAGTATTACGCTGCTTTGATTCAGCCAAAGACATAATATTGTATTATGATCCTGAACTTTGGATATGGATTGAACCTGAACAGACTTAAGGCTCCAGAGCTAGCTACACATACTATATCCAGTATGCACAACAGGTAATAGGTAATTTTGAATATTAGTCACTTATGATAAAATACCCAAGAAAACAATTTTGAGGGAGAAAATTTTAAATATTTCATGTCAACCATTCTAATGATGTACACATATGTTTTTCCAGTGACAGGTACAAGGTGTTTGTGGATTTATTCAACCTTTCTACGTATCTGGTCCCCCGACACTGGATGCCAAAGATGAACCCAATCATTCATAAATTCCTTTACACTGCAGAATACTGTGACAGTTCTTACTTCAGTAGTGATGATTCAGATTAAATTTATATGAAAATGCTGTGAAGAATATTGATTTCTCAGTCCATTTTTTATTTTTGGAATAATCCTATATACATGTAGAGTCTAAATGTAGTATATTTGGTAATATAATATATTTGTAATATATGGCTCAACATCATAGTGATCTGATTTGCTTCTGGAAATAATTGTCTCCTGTTTGTGAGGATGTAAGATTAAGCATTAAGATGCAAAACAATTTGGTTAAATGGTAACATCATATATGGGGTCCTATTAAAAGCTCAGTTTCCCCTGGTGCTTACCTTAATGTATCTACTAAATGTAACCTTGTATTGTTTCATATTTTACAAGCCTTTAAACCAGATATTTCAAATATTCTGTGCAATAAAATATGTCATTCTATACAAAACCTTTTGAAACAAATAGGATAAAATAATAAATTTAGTTGTTTTTAAAATGTTACATTTGTTGAATCTCTTGATGATTAACGGAAGAAATCTGTCTGAAGCTTGTTGGGGGGGCGGGTTGTTGGGTTATTACCCCTTTCGTTCCCAGAATTCAAAAGGTCCCTAGAAGGGGAGGCTGAAGACCTCCAATGGCTCAGAAATGGGGGGTGGGGGCGCTCCATCCCCAGTGTACTGGTCCTGGACACTCAGAGGACCCCCCCGTCCCATCCCTTCTCTGTGGGTGTCAGCTTCGTTCTTTCCCCTTGTAGACCACACCCTCTTGCAGGCTTGGTGCTAGCACTCAGCAACTCTGGCCCTCAAATGGGCAAAGGTGACCCTGTCCCTACCTCCAGTCCCTGTAGCTGGGGAAGCAAAGTCAGTGCTAATGCGTGGCAGAATATTGAGGGGCAGACAAGTAGCAGTTCCCTTAAACAATATTGGTCTTTCAAAAAAAGAGATATAACCATAATACATAATGAGCCTATTTATTTATTTATTTTTTCTCCATTAACTTTATTGGTACATTTTAGGTATACAATACAGTAACATTCATCATTGGGATCTTGTACCTTTACATGAGTCTCTTGGTTCTTATTTTTTTTCCACTTTCCCTGGCCTCCTTTCACCCCCTCCACCCTTCCCTATTTGCAAAGACTCTGTTTCCATTTTTTTCCTTTTCTCATATTTTTTCTTTTCCCTGTTTTCCTTTCCCCTACCCCTCCCGCTTCCCCAGCTCCTTTAGACCTTTACTTCCTGCTACACAATATCAGTTATACATTTTTAAATTACAATATCAAGACCTAGGAGACATTACCATAGATTTTAGAGAATTTAAAAGGATATAGAAAGCATATTACAAAAATCTTTTTTGAAATAAATTTGACAACTTCTAAGAAGTACCTTGGAAGACAAATTAATGAAACTAACTCTGGAGGAAATATAAAATTTGAATAGCACCTATTAAAGAAAGTATATTCTTAGCTTGAAAACCTACCTATATGACAACAGCAGGCTCATAAACATTTTAACTGATAAATTATATCAAACAATTAAAGCAGAAAAAGAAGGAACATTTCTCCCCTCATTTTAGGAACTCAACATTGTGCTAATCCTAAAACTGGATAAAGAAAATAGAAGAAAAATGTATGAACATAGATAGAAATTTGTTTAACAAAACAAACTCTTAGAAGTCAGATCTGGCAGTGTATAGAAAGTGGTTTTGTTATAGGGATGAGCCTATTTATTTTTAATAAAAGTACTACACTACGACTTTAGATCACATGAGTTTTAGTTTTTTTCTAGCTTGGCCTGGATTTTGATGAGTTAAATCAAAAGCAATCCAGCATATTCATCAGCGTTGACCCAGACTGATTAGCCCGCAGTAAATCCTTGACACAAATGAGCTATGCTCTGGTCTTGGTTACCGGTTTGTTTTGTTTGGTTTCTGGAAGGGACCAGACCCTGCAGTGGTCTGCATGATGACATCATCGGTCTGCACCCACAGGTTCAATATCTGCAGATCCAATTCACCACAGTTGGAAAATTTAAAAAAATTTTTGTCTGTATTGAACATGCATAGAATTTTTTGTCATTATTCTCTACGCAGGACAGTATAACAGCTATTCACATAATTTTTACATTGTATTTGATATTTTAATCTAAACATGATCTAAGTAAATGTGAGGGTGTGCAGGGATTGTATGTAAGTGCTATGCCATCTTACATAAGGGACTGGGGCATCTGGGTTTTCATATCCATGGGAGGAGGGCTCAGAAACAGTCCCGTGGATGCTGAGGAGCAGCTGCAGTTGCTGGGTCAGCTTCATATTTACAAGATCCATGTGTGTGCACTGTGGGTGGTGGTCACCCTGAAAATACAGAGATCAGGGTCACAGAGGCTAAGCGAGTGGGTTTGAAATCAGCCACCTGGGAGTGAATTCTGGCTTTCCCATTTGTTAACTATCTAGTGTAGAAAAAAATCACCATGTTTCTAGTCACCTAGTTTTCTATCTATCTGGGGTTAAAAGTTCTTACAATTTTTTTTCCACAAAGTAATAAATCACAAAGTTAATAACTATTCTCTCACCACAATACCCTGGAAACTTGGAATAAATGCTATTTATTTATTCTAAGAAATAATGTTAAGATATACCATTCTTTCTATAGATGGCATGATTTGATTTAGCTCTTCATGTGTATATTTTTGGTGTAACTAAGGTATGTAGTTGTAAGAGTTGTGTTCAAAGGATATGTTTGTAATTCTTATAGTAATTAGCAAAACAACATAATGATTTTCATCCTTAACTTCACTGAAATTCGAGCTGGTGAGTGCTGATGATCACTTTAATTTGTAATTCTTTTTTCTTTCTTTCTTATTTTTTGGTTCTGGGGATAGAACTTGGGACGCCATGCATGCTAGACAAGCTAAACAAGTACTCTGCCACTGAGCTACCTCTACCCCTTTAAATTGTGATTATTAAATGAATTACCTAGTTCCAGTAAGGTTGGCTGACTAATAGTTTAGTGTTCAGTATTTGAGACCCAGGGGAAACCACACCGAGTACCTGCTGGTGGTTTTCCCAATGGGCGGGAGCCTTTGATGAAGCATTCGCTATGGAGCTTTTGGAGGGTGGGTGAGCCCTGCATTGTGTGGAGTGGAGTAGGGGAGGCCTGTCTTCATGAAAGCTCCTTTAAAAGACGTACGTTCCCACTTACGGGCACCGTGGAGCTCCTAAGTCATTCAAAATTGAGGAGTAATATGATTGTGCTTTTATGAATTGCGAATCTAGGGAGTATTGTAGGGAAATTGTAACATCCACTAGGATCACCCGGATTCCCGCCTAGGGACTGTATTTGAGGACATATGTGGCCCATGTAGTTTACTTAGTAGTGAAAGCTGACAAAATTGAAATGGAGTCATTTGTGTCAAACCCTAAGAAAAAACAAAGCCAAGATGATATGAAGGAGGAGATCCCATGAATGTATGTCTGATGGCAAGAACTATCACACGAGACTGCTGGAGCTGCCACATGAACAAAGGTTCACTGTAATTTTATACAAAAAATACTCCAGCGAGGACATATGCTCCGCTACTGCCCACTCAAACTTGGACTGACAGCACGGTTGCAGTTGACCCTTGTAGCCAGGGATAATCGTTTCAGAACAATTTTGTGTAAGTTAAAAAAAAAAACAAACCAACTTTTTTGTTCCGGTGTCCCTTTCTTTCTGGAATATGAGCACATGCATTCCCATCACAACATTCATCCCTGCATTACGGCGCTGTCCTTGGGGAGCCTCTCTGGGCTGCTATTTCAGGCTGACAGGAAGCCACTGGGCAGTGGACACAGACTCCAAAGGCCTCGGCTCCAGAAAGGACAGGAAGGAGAGAGGAGGCAGGCGACCGAGCGAAGAGACACTCACGCCCTGCTCGGCCAGACTGAATAGGGTTTCTTGATTTGATGGATTGCAGGGTTAATATGTTGATGCTTTTGACCAAAGTAGGAACTCTACGAAACAAGTCGTTTGGCTGTCGCTGTTGCTGTTGTGAAGCAGGGAGTGCAGAGGGTGAGGTGTGAAGTCCGGGAGACACCGAGTTAATGTGGGCACCATGGAGAAAACGAAAAACTGGATGCGATGCGGAGCTGGCAGTGAGAGCCTGGGTGTGGATGCAGAGCACCTGATACCATGTTGACAAAATGCAGCCGCACCCTTAAGAGCAAGACCTTTTTAGGAACAAGTTGTCTTATGATGAATGTCATCAGAACCCAGAACATCTGAGAAGTATTAACCATTTTGAAGTTTTTAATAATTCTTTAGTATTTGAAAAAAGAATATTAGAGAACCATTTTTATAGCATAGAAAAAAATCAGCAACCTAACACATACTAGAACAAACAGGATTTAATTCCTTTCTGGTATATCTGGATAATTAAAATATCTACCCACTACACGCCAGGATTTGTCATCCTGGAACATCTCCAAACCTGAGTCCACACATACTATTTTGAGATTTCTTCTGGTTGGTGTAAGAAAAAGAAAAATAATTTGATTTTTGTTTTGCTTTTCTAATAAAAGGATTAGACTAAAAGTGAGAGGAAAAACTGGAATTGCTAGAATTAATTTTTAGTGGTTGTTGCTACCTTTAAAGTTTTATTTTTGTTAACCTCTTGTGCATTAAAAAATAATCATTACTCAGAAATGGTAGCACATGCTGTAATCCCAGCGCCCTAGAAGGCTGAGGCAGGAGAATTGCAAGTTTCAGCCCAGCCTGGGCAACTTAGAGATTTACTGAGATCCTGACTCAAAATAAAAATAAAAATAAAAAAGAATAAAAAAATGTCTTAGTACAGTGCAAAGCCCCTGGATTTGACGACCAGCGCTGCAAAAGCAAACAAACAGAGAAGAAAAAAAAAACTCATGTATTTTAGGGTAGACATATTTACACATATGGTATGTGACATGATTTTACATGAACTCTTCCATGACAGCTGCTGTCCTTGTATTTGATTAGAACATCAGCTCTTTAGTTGAGGTTCTTTTTTTAAATATAAAATATACTTTTTATTTTGTTTTCTGAGAAAAATAATGGATTTGATTACAGACAAAGTCCAGAAATTGTTTACAGTTGATGAAACTGTACGTAAGTGGTAAAAGACCTGGGTGCTGAGGTGTCATCACTGCCACTCGAGAACCGGCTCGGTCCTGGCCGCGGGGCAAGAGCTCACAGCTGTCCCTTCCGGGGACGCTCGACTGTCAGTCACTGCTGAGGACGAAAGTTCATCACCGCTCGTCAGTGTCAGTGCCCGGAGTCCCTTGTGCAATCAGACCCAGGAAGGACAACAGGCATCGAGGACCAGGAGCCTGGAGGAAGCCCAAGGGAAGCACCAAGATGGAGACTGGGCAATCTCAGTAGAAAACGGAAGTCCAAGAGCCGGGGTGCTCACTTCTGGACTGATGCGGACTGACTCTATCAGATCCGAGGAAAGAAACTTGACAGATTCATGGCAAGAGGTCAGAGGTGTGATCTTGGTGGTGATAAAGAGCTGAAGGTGATAAGGGAGCCAAGTAAGTGATGAGAAACCAAAAATGGAAAGTAAGAGACAAGAGCAATTCTTCAATCAGGGAAACCAAACCAGCAGGAGTATTTGGGACTTATGCAGCAGAGAGTAACAGACTGTTCTGTGATATAGACAGAAGAATCTAAAAAGTGAAATATTTTGGATTTCTACTGACAATGAAAATTTTCAAAAAATAATTTATCTGACAGGCAATATTATTTGAAGTGACCAATCCCATTGCGGTCATAGCAACCGTTTAATTTCACTTTGTTTCTCTTAAAAAGGGATTTGGCATTTTCTTCCTCTAACGGCGGTCCCCTTCTGGCCAAGGGTAAGCGGCGGGAGATGAGACGCAACTGCCATCGCGACTCTTCTCAAGGCTGCCTCTCCGAATGCCGCACATGGCATCTCGAGAGGCCCAGAGCACCTGAGGCTGGGCGTTCTTCTCAGAAGAACTCAAATCCAAGCCTACAGAGTGTGTCCCACGAAGGAAAACAAATGACCACCTCTTTGATCACACCGGAACAAAGTTCCATGATAAAAATCAAAAGAAAACCAACAAACAACAGCTTCTTCAAGTTGGAAGCACCTAAAATACCTCCTCATCCCACTTCCTCCCGGAGTAGGAAACACAGATTGCCTTCCAGGACCCTTAGAGGCTTTGGAGTCCATCTCTCCATAGAGTAGACATTCTGCAGCTTAGCTTAAATCTGGCCAGGCCGAGGGCCTTCCCCGGGGAGCCGCCCAAGCTTGGAGGTGAGTCATACTTGGAATGAAACACTGTTGTTGCGTGGCACAAGTTTCATGGTTGTTGTTGTGCTTTCCTGTTGTCAACATGTCACACAAACACAGCAGAAACAGAGTCTGCAATACCTAAGGAAGGAGAGGGAATTATCAGTATGGTTCATTTCCTCTTTAGGTGTTCTTAAGTCGTAAGTTAAAACTTAATTTTCACATGGGTTTGGGAGGAGTACCTCTACCTGCCAGTGAGAACGGTTACCGCCAAAGCTGGCGTTAGAAGAGAGGCCTAATATTTTTGTTTGAAGCAACAAAACAAAACAAACAAAATTTCTTGTGAACTGAGTAGGCAAATGCATCTAAGATCAATATTGCACTTGTATATAGCATATTTCTTAAAGGGAATAAAACAACTTACATATTATTTTAAGTATAATTCCAAAATCAAACTCTAAAAATTAAACTTAAGCAAAATTTCAATAAATCACAGATGTTCTATACTTTCTTAACGCGCTACTATAGAGAGCTCACAGTAACACCAAAAGCAGTAATTAGCCCATCTGAAGAATGGATGTTATTCTTAAACATTTTACTGATGCTATGGAATACTATGTGCCTCATGCCATTGTTCATATGAATCAGCAGGCATACAAATTTCAGGCAATATTCTCAGGAAAGATTTGTATCCCTGCAGAATTAGTAACCAGGCAGACACTTGGAGATGCAAATGGTCAAAGCAGGTAGAGAGAAGAAATCATCTCAACTCATCGTTGGTAGCTGAGGGTTAGGGGAAAAGGCATAGTCACAACTGATGCAGTTAGGGAGCAGTGTCTGAATATTGCTCTTGCAACTCCCTTGTCAGAGGCTTACGAACAGCACAAATCTAGGCACCAATAATTTCCAGAGGTAATGCATGTCAGCAGCAGAGGCTCCAAGAGTGGCAGCAGTGATTTAGCCAAAGTTCTAACGATATAAAAACACCCAGTGATGCTGAAAAGCAGAGGCCTGATTGGCTTCTAGAGCTCCTGCCGGAAGACTTCAGTGATGTTGAGTCTTTTCAGTAAACAATTTGTGAAAAGTGTTCTATTTCACAGAATGACTGGAAAATAGTCACCAGATTAAATCAAAACTTTCCCTTGAAATTTTTAGTGTAACTGTTTCTCAATCTGGAAAGTTCTACAGTTTTTAAAAAGCGATACACTACATGTGTTCAACTGATCGAAATCAGGCTTATTTCTATCTGCAGCTTAGTTTGGGTGTGGCTTGATTTAGAAAATATGTTGATTTTCTAAACCAAAAGTTTAAGAAGGTAGCTTTGAATATAGGTTTAGAATAAAGCTTAAAATACTTAACTACTAAAAAAAAATACTTAACTACTTTAATTTCATAAAAATTAATTTAATAAAGTTATTAAAAACAATGTTTGGCATTTGGCCAAACTCTCAATTCTACCCAGCGGGTGTTTTGCTAGAATTTTTCAGGTTACAAGGGGCATGTTAAGCCAGAAAAAATCATAATGCTCAGATTTTCACATTTTGATGCAAGAAAAACTGATTCTTAATAACACTGTCCTTTCTTTCTCCATTCCCCTTCTCTCTCTTCTTTCCTTCTTTCCTTTCCTTCCTTTCTTCCCTCCCTCCCTCTCTCCCTCCCTCCCTACCTCCTCCTCCTCTTCTTCCTCCTCCTCCTCTTTTTCCTCCTCCTCCTCCTTCTCTCTCTCTCTCCTTCCATCCCTCTCTCTTTTCAGTGCTGGGGATCTAGCCCAGGACCTCACATATACTAGGCATGTGCTCTGTTGAACTATGCCCCTAGCAATTACTGATAATCACTGAGCAGGTATTATAATGCACAGATTGGGAATATAGTTATAAAAAAGTAAAAGGCATAGCAAGGCATTTCTGGAGAAATTCAGTCCCCTAACTCCCTAACTTGAGTGTTTATCTGGCTTTTAAAGTAGTTCTGTTAAATTATTACTTAATCTTTTGATCTGACATATACATGTGATATATATACATATGCATATATATACATACATATATACATATGCATGTGATATATATATAGAGAGAGAGAGAAAGAGAGAGAGAGAGAATGGAATGGAGAAGCACTCCGTCTTTATAGAGAAGACTTCCCAGAAATAATACACAACTCTTCTGTATATGCATGCATGGATCTCCCTGGCCAGAACTTACACATGTGGCTAAGTGCAGCCTAAAGGAAGACTGGAAATAGTTTCACAGCTGGCTGTCAAAGCATCTACGTAGAATATAGGAATTATTGCACTAATGAATATATATATATATATATATTTATAGAATCTTCCTTGACATTTAGCATGAAGTTTGAAGTGGAAATTCGTGACTCACCACACGTGTTGCTCCCCATTTTGACATAGACATAGCCACCCACTCCCCATGAACTTCCCCACGAGTTGCGCACGATCCAGTACGGCGTGCTGTCTGCAAAACACAAGATGGAACAGACCGCAAAGCCCTTAGGAATGTGTAGCTTCCATGTGTCAAACTGGGTTTCTATAGGTCTAGTAGCTCTGAGAAAAAGATGATGAATGTAATATATGATTGCATATATTACATGATTTTACTTATATGTCAATATATAAATGAACTATAAGTTTACAAATGTAATAACATAATCATTCAAGTGTATATTATACAAATTATATTTATCAATATAAGCAAAGTAGCTAAGGACCTGCAGGCTGGATTAGGGTCACACTCTAATCCTAAGAAACATATGTTTGAATTTATTTTGCTCAATTGAGAGTCTGTGTAAAATGAAAAGAAACATACAATTCCACGAAATTTGAGGAAAAGAAAATGAAGAGTTATTGCAGATGTATGATAAATTAATGAGCACATCTCTTTTTCCCACCATTGTCCTAAATATTCCAGACAGAGAATTTTTCCCATTTAGATAAGATGGTTACCATGTGGGACCAGGCTCAGGTCAGTGGTAGCTGCCTGTCTGCCATGTACAAGGCCTGCAGTTCATTCTCTTCACAGGAAAACAAGTCACCGTGATTAAAAACGAAAGGGGGACCCGACAAGACAGCGTGGTTCCACCTGGAGAACCGCTGGCCAGTCAGTTCTCACACACGAGTCCGGGCCCCAGCGCTGGGCTGGGCCGGGATCTGGCAGCACCCAGTCCGGAGGCAGTGGCTGCAGCCGAGCACCCACCTGTCCGATCGAAGCCGGTGATGAGCACCGCGTGGTTGGCGCGCCCGCTGGAGCAATGGTGCTGAATGACGCCTCCCAGGTAGTCCTGCCAGCTCACCGCGTCCACGATCACCACCAGCGGGCCGTGTGCGAGCAGGGCTCTGGCCATCTCAGCCTCTTGGCCACTGTCAAGGGAGGAAATGCTTGCGTAAGGAATTTAGCTTTTATGGCAAAAATAAAAATTATCTTTTTAATCTGTGTATGATTAGAGGGAGCTTTGACTTCAGTTACAAAAGACTTAAACAATAGAGGCTCAAAAAATGTCTAGAAATCTGGGAAATAGGTATTTCAGAACAGTATGTGCATCGAAGATACCAGGAACCCCTTACCCACCCCCCCATATGAAGCTTCCATTCTGGAGGTCTCAGATGCCAAAAAGGCTGCAGAAGCTCTAGTCATTTAACAAATGTTTCAGACGGAATGGGAAAGGGAAGTGCTCCATCTTTATAGGGAACACTTCCCAGAAATAAGACACAACTCCTCTGTACATGCATGCATGGATCTCATTGGCCAGAACTTACGCATGTAGCTAAGTATAGCCTAAAGGAAGATTGGAAATAGTTTCATAGCTGGCTGGCAAAGCATCTACTTAAAATATAGGAACTCCTTCCATAATGAACGTATGAAGGCTACACATTATCAATACTTTGTGATCTATGCCACACCCCGTTAGAATCAAGAGACTGACAAATTTCTGTTAGTGAATATAGAAACTTCAGGGGAGCATTACCCAAAAGTAGTGAATATAGTTACACAGAAGAGGATATGTCTTAAAAAGTAAAGAGGCAATGTTAAGGTGTCAGAAAAGCTATGTGGGTGTTTGGCTGCCAAGACTACAAAAAACACAGTTACTGCCTTCACAATTATTATGGACATCTACTGGCAAAATCTTATGTTGCACAACATTTGGCCTTTATCGATCTTGAAAGTATGTGATTAAACCAGTATTTACATTTTTCAAAGGTCAACTTTGTGGGTGAAGGACACTGAAACCAAGTTACTGATAGCTCAGGCCATTAAGAGAGCATTTGGTAGTTTATTGCTACAGCAAGATGTGCTGGATTAGTGGCTTGAAAAAGTAAATAATCATGCCCAGCTGGAGAGTGGTTTCTAGCAATGAGATATTTTATCCACAGATGAGGAAAATCCTGATTGCATAACAATGGAATTTATTAAAAGAGGAACTTTACAGTCATTTGACACATATGGTCACATAACCTATTAACTTGAAAATTTTTTGGAGGTCTGTGAGCAGACAGTTGTAATTTTTGCTCTAATACTTGGTGTTCACTATCTTAAAAAATGCAAAATTATAAAATTTTTCAAAAGATTAGTGATAGAGTATGAGCTTTGAATTTCCTCAAATCTGGGTTCAAATGTCAGCTGTACACTAAATTCTTTCCCCTTACCATGCAGAATCAACATAAACATAAAATTATATAGTTTTATGGGCTGTAAGCTACATAACATGCATATGAGTTATACTCTAATGGTACAATAAACTTTTTATTTATAAGTAATTTAAAAAATGAATTCTGTACAGTATAGTTTTGATTGTATAATGTGTAACCCATTCTTCAAATTCTTTTTAATATTTTGTAATTAAAATGTGAAATATATGATAATCTCTGTCTTAATCAGCACAACTGTCTTTACCTAATTAAGAGGACAAAAGATCCAGTGGAAATACACCACCCAATGAGCCAGTTACAGAGATACCATGAGAAAGCATAAAGACTGAGAAGGAGAAGTATTTTATTTAGCATGTAAAACTATTAATGTTACAGCATCAAAGGAATGACTTGGGAGTAATCCCTGCTTGAGCGAGGATAAGGAAAAGATATAAAAAATATTAAAAGATCAGAAAAAGGATGACAGCCCAGTCATGGCCAGTAGAGAGATGTCCCATTTGGCCCCAGGACTGAGCAGTATTTTTTAAGCATATTCTCTTACTGAAGATGAAGGCTCACAGCAAGTTAAAATGTCTTCCAAATGGCATCATTATTTCCATTATTTGGGCCATACAGAATTAATGTCAAAAGTGCATTGTCGATAATAGAGATTTTATCAAATTTTGGTTGCATGCACTTTGTGTTAATCTCACAGATCAATAATTTACAAAACCTATAGTCTTTGCAGAATTTTCTGACACTAGATGACTTTGCAAGTTCCTGTCTCATCTTCCCTAGAGTTCAGCACCTTCCACTGTGTATATATTTTGGCTCATGATAAGCTGTAGTAAGTTTCTTCCCTGTTTATTTAAATAATTATTCTCATATTCTTGTTTGAGGTATAAAATGTCTTATTTTGGAATCTGGTGAACAAATTTCATGAGAATCCTAATGTGAATGGTCATTCTGCTTCAGCACTAGAGGATGTTTTTGTGTTCTGATTTTTTTCTCCATCTTAGATCTTTTCAAATTTTCAGTGTTTTACTGAGGTTTTGAATATTGGCAGTGCACTGAACTGACATTTCTTTGGAACCTGAAAACTAACAGCTTCAGGATAAACAAGGGAGGGACAAATTTAAAGACCCAATCAAAAAATGGGCATGTGAAATGAACAGACACTTCTACGATAAAGAAAGACAAATGGCCAATAAATACACTAAAAATATGCTCAACATCACTGGCCACTAGGGAAATGCAAATTAAAACAACACTGAGATTCCATCTCACTCCAGAAAGAATGGCTGCCATTAAGAGTTCAACGAACAACAAACTCTGACGCAGTTACAGGGGAAAAGGAACTCTTCTCATTGTTGGTTGGAGTATGAATTGGTACAACCACTATGGAAATCAGTGGGAAGATTTCTCAGAAGACTAAAAGTAGAAATTCCCCTTGACCTTCTAGGTATCATGTGGAGGAGTTAAAGATACTATACCACAGCTATGTATGCATACTCATGTTTATAGCAGCACAATTCATAATAACTAAATCTTGAAAATAGCTTATATGTTCATCAACAGATGAATGGATAAAGAAAATGTACTACTCTAGAGTACTACTCTACCAAAAAGGATAAACTTTAGTCATTTGTAGGAAAATTGTTGAGACCAAAATTATCAAGTGAAATAAATATCAAGCTTAAATACTGCCTGACTTCTCTTATATGAAAAACTCAGTATCTATATAAAGTGCAAAATAAAAGACCTATAATAGGGAGGGAACGGAGGGAGAGGGAGAGGAAGAGGGGGAGAGAGAGAGAGAGAGAGAGAGAAGGTCTTGTAATGTAGCACAGACAATGTATCTAAATTGTATCTTGACTTACTATAATCGTCTTATATGGTTTTTGGCCTATTCCTCTGGTTGTTAATCTGTATATATGAGAACTAACTTTATAAGTCTTATAAGATAAATAAATTAATCTGATGCTGACAAAATAAAAGGAGTAGAGGGAAGGGGGAAAATAATTGAGATTTGTTATGTAAAGGTATTAATTCCCTACAGGGAGTGTAACACATTATGTAATAAAAATTAAAAATTAAGGGGATAAAGGAAAAAAGAAAGGACAGAGGGAGGGAGAGGCAAAGATATCCTACAAAATTCCAAGTAATAATGTTAGATGAATAATGAAAACAGAAAATCACTGCTAGCACACCACTGCAGAGTAGGCAGCCACGGTATTCTGAGGAAACTTCAAGGGAGAAACCGAGTATTTGCTCATCCTTTGTATCACCCCCTCTAACTGTTCATTATTGCCCTTTTTCATAATTTCCCTAGGGATCTATAACTACTTAAGGCAAATATTACTTTTAAGCATTGTATTTTGGGATTTGTAATGGGCAGATAAAACATTTATTCCAGTAGCACAAAGAATGGAAGGGTGTGGGTGGAGTTGCTGGCTGTGACCTTTTCACACTTTACATCTATTAAAGAGTACAGTGCGTATTTCGACAGCGCTAGGCCTTCAGCTCGGAGCCTTGCTTATGCTAAGCAAGCCTTCTCTCTACCACTGAGCTGCTCCACCACCCCGAGGTAAAACTCAGCTTGTGATGTGCCAAAGGCACACACGACACCTGGAGTCCCACAAAATGTAAAGAGTAATTTATACACTAGTAAAAGAACACAACTGAGTATAATGTGGAAATAAGAAAGAATAAACAGGGGAGGGAGCAGGACATGCAAAGGGAAGGAGATGTAAAAAGAATCGAGAAGTGTCATGTATGTGTACCAACCTTCCACAATGAATGGAATGACTACGTGGCACAAAAAGAGAGGAAAGATGAGGGAAAGTGAATTCGAGCTGGACAGGTGCGGGTTTTCACCCAGTTCTGCCTCGGATAGGTGGGTGCCCTGGCTGAGCTGGGTGCTTCCGCCCAGAGGCAGACGGTGATGTCTAAGAGGCGGGCCCTGGCCCATGGCCTGGCTCCAGCCATTCTGCCTCGTCCTTCACGGCCCTCACACAGTCCTGCAAAGCGTGCTGCCCATCGCGCACCTCAGGGCTCTGCACTTGTGGCTCCCTCTGTCTGGAAAAATATCCCCCCGGATATCTGCATGGTTGGCTTCCCAAACTGCGAGTCTTTACTCAGCTTTCACCTGCTCATCTGCTGGCAGCCCCTTCGAGGCTTACATCCTCCCTTCTGCCACCGACTTCCTCCTCTTCTCACTGCTCACCTAGAGATCATCACAACACACACACCACACACAGCGTCCAGCAAATAGATGCATGAAGGGCCAGTCTCTTCCCATCCAATACCAGCAGTGTAGGATTGCAATCAGCTTAGGGTTGCACTGTTGGAGGGTTTAGCATTCAGTGTTAAGTGTGGAGACTTTGGGCTGAGGTTGTAGCTCACTGGTGCAGGGCTGGTCTGGAAATCATGAGGCACAAATGTGAAACCAGCACTGTGAAAGAGGGTGCTTTGAAGGAAAAGGACAGCACTTGGAGACCATAATGTTAAGTGAGACATATCAGACACACAAGTTTAAATAGCACATGCTGTTTCTCATATCTGGGAAAACTAAAACATAGAAGAAAAACATCATAAAATAGGAGACAGACAATAAGGTGTAGGGAAACAGAGCTTTCTCAAATAGTAAGGGGATCAAAGGTGGAGGCAGGGAGAGAGGGGAAGGAAAGGGAAGAAAAAGGAATTAAGCTGTGTTATGTATATACACCAACTCCCCACAAGGAATGCAACCATATGTACTGCCAACTGTATTAATAAAAAAGAAAAATGGTTACAAAGAGTAGATGAGGAAGCCATCGATCAAATTATTCACTGTGAATAGTCAATAGATCATAAATTAAGAATGGAGAGAAGGGCCCAGAGAAGATCTTTACCTGAAGTCATATGCGGAATAGCCTTGGATGGAAAGTCCAGGCTGTGACTGGGAGAAGTAATGGCACGGCCCATCCTGTGCTTTAAATGGGTATTCTGAGTCTCTCACCAGTTTCACTCGTGTCTAAAACAAATCACCCAAAATGTCCACGTGTCAGTTGTTTTAAGAATCAGAGTTTACTCCAGCATGTCAGAATAGGCTCAATCTCCCCGCATCACTATGTGAGTATACTCTGAGTTCTTGAGATCTTAAGTGGCATCCTCAGGGCTTGCTAGAGATGTCCTAGATGACCAGAATGAATGTATTTCTTTCTGGTTTACTCCTGTTTCTCTTTCACTTATCATCTTTCCAAAACTTCCACCAATTAGCTGAGCGCCAAGTGGGGAGCACCTCCCTCCCCTGGCGTCCACTGGGTTGCCAGGCCTTCGATGCCAGCGCAGTGCTGTAGACTCATGACAGACGGCAAGGCCAGGCCTTCTCTCTACCCCTTCTCCCCATGCCGTTCATCCAGCACGTGTCACATATCTTACAGTCCTTCCTTTCCGAATCCCGGGCTTATTGGAATGGACAGCACATGCAGTTTCTCATCGTTCACTGTGTGTAAGAGTGGCTTCTGATTCAAAATCCCGTGAGTTTACAATGGAAGGTCTGGGGAATTCCAGCTTGGTGAATTTTTATAAAACCAGAACAGTAGCCTCAATGGATGCTTTCTGCAGCAGAGCCTACTCACAAACAACTATTGGGAAAAACAGAGAATACCTTAGGGTCCTGAGCTAGGGAGGCAGGGCCAGAGGTGCAGTTCTGGCTCTGCAACCCACTCAGCAGCACAACTGCAGCTCTCATCAGTACAAGGGTTATGGGATGTGCTGATCTAGTTGATTTCTAACATGCTTTTTATACTCTGATTTTTGGGGGATGTTATGTGATGTGTTTATGCAAAAAAAAAAGAATTATCTTTGCAGGAGTGTTAAATAACCAAATTATCTTTCTGAAAAAAGATCTCAGATAACTTTTGTTATGCTTTGGTAACTTGGTAGTTAATTTGCCTGGAAGCAATTAATTTTTAAAGTTTTTGATTAATTGAATTAAGCTTTGGTCATCTAAATTTCTGAATGTGGGAACATTGTTTAATCAAGGAAAGTAATTGGCATTCTGTGCATAGTGCAACAGGAAAAGAAGAAATCAAGAATCTGAAATGCTGAGAGGCCAGTCACCTTGTTCAGCCAGCTCAGAGCGCTGAGAGGCGAGCCTCCATTGCACCCGTAGTTATTATAGGAGCAGTCGATGACCTGCTGGGCACTGAGGTCTTCCAAAGGCCCCCCTCGGATGGCCCACGCGGACTCCACCGCTCCCACCACGCTGAACGCCCAGCATCCTCCGCACTGTTCAAAGCAGAGAAGGCAGAGTGTTTACAATCAAGCAGCAGCTCAGTCAAATGTACCGATGTCTCTAAATATAAGAAGTTATGAAATTCAACAAAATGTCCAGAATCTGGAAATCTACAAAATATACATGTCCATCCTCTAGCTTTTCAAGTTCAAAACAAAAACAGCATTCTCTTTTGAGCATCAAGATCTAATTACTACTTAAAGCTAAATTAGTCAGACTGCTACTGTAAATGAATATATGATGCAGTGGATTGCCAGAGAGTATGAAAACACTGAGTAACTGGTGGTCTCTGGAAGCCAGTGTTCACTGAATGTCTTGGTTGTGTCACCAGCAGCTCCTGTCCCAGAGACTGTGTCCCTCAGTCCACCCCACACTTCAGTCCTCACTTCTCCTCTGACTCGGATTTTAAAGCCTCCTTGGCGAGCTGTCAAGACAGTGGTGAAGATGTGTGTGTCCTCATTGTCCCACAGACATAGGAGTCAGATGAACTGCTGTGTGTATCAAGACACTGAGAGATCAGTGTGCATGCACCAGACAAGTGATATTAGTCATTTCTCAAACAGTGGCTGCCATGCTTGCTTACTGTGGATCTATTTATCTGCTTTTAATGAACAAAGATGATCCAAAGAATAAAAGGCTGAGGCTCAGAGAAAGGGAGGAGACAAGGGAATAAAATTAGGCACATCAGGGTTTGATATCTGCCTTTAGTTGAGCCACAAGAGCAACTCCTTCTAAAAGAATCTCCCCACTAAACTCCTTTTCTAAGGATTCTTATTAAAAGTTTCTCTTTACTTCAATGTAGACACTTCTTGGAAGAACTGGATGGATGGCTAATTCACAACTTACTGTGAATTCGATAACAAAGCAAAAGATTTAATGGTAAAATTTAATGCACAATAATAAACACTGATATGAGCACCAGAAATGATCATTCTAACTGGACAAAGATTGAGAAACTGATGCATGTAAAACGCTTCCTGCCAAGGGAGGTGCATCGACCTGTTGAGATTTCACCGTGGACACCCTGAAGACAAAGGGAGAGTACCCTGCCGTTCTCGGGTGCTCGTCTTTCCTTCGTGGCCTGGCATTCCCTCTGCCTACTGAGGTGCAAATGGGAGGGGAATACGAGGCACACCCCCCTCTGCAATGTCTAGCAGCCAGCTGGGTCCTGTGTGCTCCACAGTTGCACTCATTCACACCTGGGTCTACCCTGCCCCTTCTCATCTCGGATGACCCTCCCTCCACCCATCCCAATGACCTGCAGGCTGCAGACCTTCCCTCTCTTATTTCCTTCCTTGAGCACATACTGGGTCCTTTTCAAGCTAAATGATTGCTGTACTTAGCAGTGCTTAGACATTACTTAATCATTCAACGTGTGTAAAGTTGTGCTACCATGTTGTTAGTTTCCCATCTGCTTTTCGGGTGTGATGATTTTAAACACTACACTCTAACCTGATTCCTACCATAACCCCTTCATTGTACTGCACAGTTCTGCACAGGTGGTGTTTTTAGCAGTGTACATGTCACCTTGCACTTGAGCTGAGTGTGCTTTCAAGGACACAAATTGAACAGGGGATGATACTGCGGGGGGCAAGAGGAAGCGGCTGATGAGCTTACAGGATGAAGCTGAGAATCCAGGAGATCTGGCTATGCTACTGGGTGAATATATCCAGTCTCACTTCATCTTTGCAGAGTTCTTTTCCCTTTGAGTTACTTAAGTAGGTGTCATGTCTCCCTTACTGGCTTGCTACCTGATACCAGATGTGGCATCTTTGGCATAGCTACCGGAAAGCATCACTGAGAGTGTACTGGTGGAAATGGCAATCAATGAGGGGACAAACCTAGGGAGATTTATCTTCAGAAATAAAAGTCAGGGTTTGACACCTGCCTCTTATTCCTCAAAGATCCTCCCTTGCTTGTCATTTTCGAATGACTGAGTTGTGATTTCACTGAGAAAAAACAGAAGGGTTTCTTTACAAGTTTGGTTGAACTTGACCCCAGAAGTGCTTTTCAATTCTTTGCAAAGCAGAAAAAGGACTTGAAACTTACCATCTGCTGGTTTCTCACTTGTGTCACAACATGCTTGTTCCGCCAGTCAAATCTTAACGGCAAAGGTGTGTTGGGGACGGATGCCTGTACTTTTGCTGCGTATTTGGGGAACCTGGAAGGTTTGCTTCTTAAATAAATGGCTGAGTAGAAAGAAGAAATGAAAAGACAATAATATTATAAGGAGGGCCCTTGGGTTCTTCTATCTGGAGCAATGCTCTAAACAAAAATAGAAACTTTCTGATAAATATGATATTTGAAATTTTCCTCTTTGCTCTTCTATAACATGAAATACATTCTACTGAAAGCTACAGAAGAAAATTCCTAAAATTAGGTTGAAGCTGACATACAAAATGACTTGTTTGATAGAATCAGGTCAGTAATAAAAAAATGAGCATAATTGACAACATTTCTTTCATTGTAACTCATGAAAGCATGAGTGTTCCTAATAGAAATAGTGCTAGAAAACTGTAGAAATGCTGCAAAGACATGTGTATAGTTATAGTGTTTAGCTCTTAAGGCAATAATTAGTACAGAGAGGGGCTGAGATGTAGCTCAGTAGCACCTTGCCTGCCTGGCAAGCACAAGGTCCTGAGTTGGATCCCAGGGACTGGAAAAAACAATTAGCACAGAAGGGCTATAAATATACTTTTCTTAAAATTAGGATACAGTGTGTGCTTGATACATAGTAATGTATAAATATTTAATAAACATTCACCAGTACTCAATTTGCCAGATTTACAATAAAACAATTCCTCAAAAATTAAAAAGAATTTAAAATCAGGAAATGGACAAATAATATTACTTTCAGACCATACCTTTAAACTCTTCAGGAAACAAATATGAAAACTGATTTATTCCATAAAAAGCAGTGGAGTTTTCATGTGGAAACAAAGAATTCAAGTATCGATGTCTATTAAGACTTTCCTAAAGCAGAAAAAAGGAGTAATTTTATATATACCATGTAAACTCTTCAAAGCAAGCAATCTGTACATACCTAACTTGCAGCTATTCTTCAGGTACAAAATACAAAGCTTGATTCTCCGCAGGTTAGTATAAGACATCCATATCAGATTTATAAACACTTCATATTGAAAACTACTATGTATTTACAGACTTTTTAAAGGCTGAGAGGGATCTTATCCATTTGTTTCCTCTTCAGTGCATGTGTTGAAAGCATTACATATATATTATTAGAGTGCTGACAAAGTGGAAAAATAAACTGTGGCAAACTCTGGATGCTAGTGGCAAATTGTCTCTTACAACCATTCCTGTGATTAAACAGTGATGAATATGGAAATCATCCTCATCTTTGTTTTTCTCAGCACTGAGAAATGCAGCATTAAAAAACATTGCATGAGTCTAATCTTACTGAAGCTTTATAGACAGCTCCAGCTCCTATGGACTAAAGGCTTTGTGAAAGGGATGCAACCCTGGAAATCTTCCAGGAAGACTGCTTGGTTTTTAATCTGGAGGGAAAAAATGTGACCATTATCTATAGATTTCTAAACTCTGAATTTTGTTACAGTGTATGTTAGGCTTGTCTTTTCTATAAAAGTTGTTTAGTTTCCTAAATCATGTAGGGTAATGAAACTTCAAAGGATTCTCATTTTGTAAGTTTCCAATTCCAGTTCTTTCACATACTGTTTTATGTACTTATGTGTTTATTATTTGTGTGTCACAAAAACCAAAACACAAAATGTGGGCAAGTTTATCAGTCTTCTCCTCACTGTTACCCACACCAAGCCCATGCCTAGGACACAATAGCTCTTTCATGACTGTTTATTGTTTAACAGTTAGGCTAATGACATTTTCCGTAAGTCATGTCCTTAGTAGCTGTAAGCTGCATATTTTTTAACTAAGTTATTACTAGTAGTTACCATGATCTTTATTTTTTTTCTCTTTATTGAGCCATCCTAGAATAATTGCTTATCCATAAACTAATAAAATTTCAAATTTCCAGTTTTTGAAATCTTGGTGAAGCAGGGCTTTGAAAATAACCTGGATATATTAATATAAAACTAAAACTAAAATACAAGACAATTTCTTCTATGGCAAGTGACAAACATAAATCAGAGACTGCTACCTGCTAAGGAATTCAGATCAATCACTCAACCCCTCAGTGCTGTCCCCCTACTGTGTCTTCAGCTGCTGTGGTTGGGGAGGCCACTGGGACACACGGGCAGTGCCAGTATGTGGCCACCTGCAGATGCACCTCCCAGACCTCCCTCTCTCTGGGGCCTTCTGGCTGCTGACAGGATTGTCATCAGATGCACAGAAAAGCCAGGGCCCCTCAGCCGCCCCTAATGGCAGTGCGGGGCTGGTGGAGGCTGGTCATTTGGAGGAGACACAGATATCTGAACAGCTGCCTTCTGATTAATGACTCACCTCTCGGCCCTGCCAACCCTTCAAGCATCCCTGCACTGCATGGCAGGATGGGGCGCTTCCTGATCTTTCCTTCCTCTCTTTTTCACTCAGGTTCGGGGCTACCTTGGTGTGCGACGGCTCTCAGGCCCTCTCCCCAGCCCCTCACAGGCATTGCTTCTGTGATTTGAGAGTGAGAGAAGAGAGAGGGAAGACACAAATCCCCAATATCAAGAATGAGAGAAGGTCCATGACTGCATACGCTGCAGGAATCAGAATCATAATGTATCAAGAAGTGGATGCCAATAAATTTGACAGCCTGAATGAAATGGACAAACTTCCTGAAAAACACAGATCACCAAAGGTGAAAGTCAGAGCAGTGGGAAACTGGAGCAGCCTTTTATCAACTCAAGGCATTAAAATTGTAATTGAAAATTGAGTCACAAAGAAAACTCCAGGCCTAGAAGGGTCAGTGGTGAATTCTACACCATTAAGAGAGAAACATCTCCAATCTTACAGAAAATGAAAGACAAGGGAATAGTTGGCAACTTAAACAAGACAAATGTTACCTAGATTCTGAACCAGAAAAAGGTGCCTCACTTATCTGCCTTACCAATATGTCTCATGAATAAAGAAGTAAAGACCTGAACAAGATACTATCAAATAAAATTCAACAATACATCAAAAGGATAATACATCATGGTGAGGGAAGTTCACTGAAAAATCAGTCCATCGACTACACCACATTAACTGAATAAGGGAGAAAGAAAAACAGTATAATGTTTTAATAAATGTATAAGAAGTACTTGATAAAATTCAATACTATTTCCTGATAAAAATTATCAGCAAATTCTAAGACTGAAATAACTTCTTTATAATAGCTTCTTTAACCTGATTGAGGAGATGCATAAAAACCCCACATCTTTCTTAATGGTGAAGTTCTCAAAGGTTTCTTTTTCAGAGTAGGAGAAAGGAATGAAGGAATATTTTTATTACTTTCTTCCACAAACATACTAGAAGACTTATTTTTTTCAATAAAGGAACATAAATAAATAAACCGTATTTTTAAAAAAGAAGTAAAGCTGTCAATATTTGAAAAAAACAAATTGTTATGGCTTGCATCTCAAGGTCCGCCAAAGCCTCCTGCACTCATACATAGCTGGGGCTCTGGGGTGGCTGCATCATGGGTGTGAGAAGATGAAACAAAGGGGTGTGGTAACTAAATCAGTCCACTGATTGACTGGCTTAGCATCGTTCAGGGGGTGATAGTGGGAAGGCCCACCCCGGATGGGATAGATGTCCAGAAGGCCGGCTGCCTGGTGCCTCCTGCTTGCTCTGCGATGACCTGCTTCTCTCTGTGATGTCCCTCTGCCATGCTGCCCTGCTCAGAGCCAGACCACTATGGACTGAACCTTTACACACTGTGAGCCAAATGAACCTTTCCTCCTTTTGCATCTCAGCGAGAAAAGGAAAACACCTATGTACAAAGCATGAGGAAATTTGCAAAAATGCTACTTGAACTATTAAATAAATTTTAGCAAGTTTGTAAGAGACACAAGATCATTACAAACAACTAATTGTATTTTTATAATGGCTATAAACTACTAGAAAACAAAAATTTAAGTTAAAATTTTTAATGAATATTAAAAATTAAATGAATTTTTAAACATTTCTAAATAAATACATTCAACAAAATATGTAAGATTTGGATGCTGAAGTCTATAAAATATTACAAAATGACATTGACAGAATTCATAATTAATGGTGATCTACACCATTCACAGTGTGGACGACTCAATATTGATGTGGCAGCAATCTTCCCCATTTATCTATAGATTCAATGTCATTCCAATCAAAATCCTAATTTATTTTCCAAAGAAAACAATAAAAGGCCTTTGAGAAGGCCTTTTACAGTTTGATATCAAAGGAGAAATAATGTCCAAATTGATAGAGTTGACACACAAAGTGTTGTGTTTCTCAAAAACCTCAGATAAAATTTGAAAAGTAAACAAAGCTAATCAAACTGCCACTAAAGTTAATAATGTTACAATTCCAGGAGCTCCTTCAATGAATATACAGAAAATGCAATGCTAATTAAAAATTAGTAAACATTGAGTAGTCTTAAATCATTAAAATTAGAAAAAACAATTGACTAATAAATACATGGTTTCTTCAGTGACAGTACAAAAGTGATGCTAATTGAATTAAGAATAGCATCTTACTGTTACCTATGAAATTAGTGCACTGTTTATAAAAGTAAGTCATTCAGGAACACGATAATGTAGAACCAAAATGCAACACACACACACACACACACACACAGAGTCATGAGTTAAGAACCCTTTCAGTGTCCTCAAAATTGCACAGTTTGACCAAGAAAGCTGAGTTCTAGAATTTTATTATTATATTTTCTCAATCCTAGGATTAAAGCAGGGCCTCCTGAGTACTAGGAAAGCATGCTACCCTGAGTTGCAAGCCAGCCTACAATTTTCTTTTAGACAATGAGTGTGGGCCCGACACAGCTCTGGGCTCTCCGTGGGTGTGTGATGGGTGTGTATAAACGTGTAGCAGCACTCTCAGCTCAAGTACAGAGCTAACACAAGTACATCTCACTGGATAATTTTTGTAATTAAGGAGAAAAGCAAAAATTTTGTCACTGAGTTATCAGAGTATTAAAGTCAAAATATTTAGAAATTAAACATATTTCTATATCATCATGTTTCCAGTCTCCGGATGGTATTGCCATAGGAGTGCCACTTCATCATCCATATTTCAGTCATTCTGCTACTGAAGTAGCTATAAACACCAACTCAATAATGAAAAAAGGCACATACCATGGGTTTATATTAAATATTCTTGTGCCCAAGTTTCAGTGATGATTCCAGTAACAGTCACTTATTTTTGGTCTTACACTTTGGAAAGACAAAACACCTCCCTGCACACATACTCTCCTTTGCTTCCACTTTATATAGTTCTTCCATATAAGTCAGCAGTGCAGGTACTTGAGGGGTGTGGAATTGGGGCTCTCTGCCTCGTGTTCAACCAGAGGCCAACTTCTAAAAGAATTTCATCTGTCTGTCCCAAACGCCGTGCCAGTGTTCGCTCCTGTGTTCACTTCTCGGCAAGAGCAAAATACTGGAACCCAAAGTCCTAGCTCTCACTCCCTTCCTGCACTGATCACACACCCTTCTTTTGACTGTACAAGACCACTGGTGACATGAAAAGCACTTCCCTTTGTTCCCTCTGAACAAAGCACATTTGTCTTACACAGCTATGCACGCGTGGCCATGTTTATGGATGGATTCCTCTAATCTCTAATTAACTTTGCAACAAACTTACTATTGCTGTGAAATCCTTTTTTAGTACATGTTTGCAGTACATAATGTAGTACACTTATGGTGGGGAATTGCTGTATGTGCATAAATATCTTCATTCTTGTTTTTTCATCCCCAAAGACTCTTGCTGTGAAATCTTCAGCTCTATGCTGGACTACTTTGAACTTTATTTTCTCCAGTGAAAAATAGGATAATACTGACCTTACAGAAAGTAAAATTAAATAAGAG